TTAGTGGTCTCACGTAAAGACAGTACCCCCTATGTACAGGTTTTATGGCGTTTTGGGAAGTTACAGGGTCAAATATAGCACGTTACATTTGAAATTGAAATTCGCCAGATTGGTTACGTTGCCTTTGGGACTTTATAGTAGCCCAGGAATGAAATTTACACCCATAATGGCATACCATTTGCAATAGTAGACAACCCAAGGTATTGCAAATGGGGTATGTCCAGTCTTTTTTAGTAGCCATTTGGTCACAAACACTGGCCAAAGTTAGCGTTAGTATTTGTTTGTGTGTGAAAAATGCAAAAAACGCCAATTTTGGCCAGTGTTTGTGACTAAGTGGCTACTAAAAAAGACTGGACATACCCCGTTTGCAATACCTTGGGTTGTCTACTATTGCAAATGGTATGCCATCATAGGGGTAATTTTCATTCTTGGGCTACCATAGGGTCTCAAAGGCAACGTAACCAATCTGGCGAATTTTAATGTGAAAAAAATGAAACAACAAGCCTTATATTTGACGCTGTAACTTTTGAAAACACCATAAAACCTGTACATGAGGGGTACTGTTGTACTCGGGAGACTTCGCTGAACACAAATATTTGTGTTTCAAAACAGTAAAAAGTATCACAGCAATAATATTGTCCGTGTAATGCTGTTTGTGCGTGAAAAATGCAAAAAACTTCACTTTTACTGGCGATATCATCGTTGTAATACATTTTACTGTTTTGAAACACTAATATTGTGTTCAATCTCAAGAACAATACCCCAATATTGAGTTTTATGGTGTCTCAGAAAGTTATAGGGTTAAATATAGTGCTAGCAAATTAAATTCCCTTTACTTTCGGCATAGGTTGTCAGGCAGGTCCCGCTAATTGTAATTAATTAAGATACCTAATTATGTAAAAATATTACATAAATATATATGTAGAATTAATATATGTATATATATATACGTATGTGTATATTTATGTATATATCTATATAATTTTTTTTAAATATTTTTATTTATATATAGGTATATATATAGTGATATATAAGTATATATTTATGTATATAGATATATATATTATTTCGTTCTACGTGTATTTTGATATATATATATATATTAATTTCACAAAACAGTTAGAACGAAATAACACACATCTATATATTTTTTAATTATTTATTTTTAATTATTTTTTAATTTTATTTTTTAACGTATTTACATTTTTATTTTTTTTATATTATATATAAATATATATAACAATAATTATATATATATTTAATCAGTATCAGTCTACATGTAATTTGATATTAATATATATATATAATTATATATATATTAATAGTAAAATACACCTAGACGGTGTACGTGTGTGTATGTATATGTGTATATATATATATATATACTTAGATCATATATATATATAATATATATATATGATCTAAGTATATATAATTATTTTTTTTTACACCATTAACTTATTTTTATTTTATTTTCAGCCAGCAGGGGGACCACCTGTAATTACAGGCAGCCCCCCTGCCGGCAATACAGAAGCCAGCTATCCCCGGCCATGCCATTGTGGGGTCCTCGCTAGGACCCCACTCTCACATGGCCGGGGGGCTTCAACGAGGACGGATGTGCATCGGGGGGCTCCCTGGGAGTCCCCCCCACCGCGATCGCCGGCGTGGGACCGCCGGCGACCGGGTAAGTTAACAAAAACCGGAGGGCGTACAATTACGCCCGGCGGCGTTTAGAGCCGCCTATTAGAGGGCGTAATTGTACGTCCTCCGGTTTTAAGGGGTTAAATTGTGGTATATAGCCTGAATCAGACATCATGGACAAAGGTTTTTAAAAGTGTTACTAAGGGCTCTTGGAGACTGACCGGTCTAAAGGTTTGCCATGCCTTAGAACATGGTATAGAATACATTTTTTTTAAGTCTCTGAGAGTTCTGAAAGATTCAGGTGAAACCATGTCTGTGTAATCAGGTCCAGATGTTTGTTCAATTTCTATAAGATTTAAGTTGATGCAGCATCATCTTAAATTAGTTAATGGAAGTTTTATACAAATAGTTGAGTTATGAGCGCGCTATATAAATGGATCCTTTCTTTATATACAATACTATAGTAGATTAAAGTAATGAAGTTAATTAAGAAAATGTATACATAAGAATCCCTAAAATAAATCTAAACTAAAATTGGTATACCTTCCAATAATATGTTCTGAATATAGATGTTAACTGTTTATTCTGTGTAAATGGTGATTGTGATAATGTGTGATAAGTGTGCAGTTTAACGTGAAAGTGGTTTAATTTATACGTTGCTGTATTGTTTTAAATTATATGTGAATCAGTTTGTCACAGTCTAGTGATACTGATAAGAATGACAGCCAAATAACCTAGCAAATAACTGTTTTATTAGTTGTTGAATACTAGCGTTTTGGCCAAGAATAGTTGGAGATTTGGAGGTGTTAGTTTAAGATTGCTTTTATATTGTGTCTATCTGTGTTTCCTAGGAGGGAGACAGAGTGTGTAGTTGTGTGCCCATAAATGTGATTTCTGTATTGGCATATCTGCTGGGTACCCATTATGTGTTTCTACAAAGATATTGTTTTGTGAGATGACGTGTAATATTACATTGGATGCTGAGTATGAGTTATATGGTTTGAAATGAATTGGTGATTATGAGCTTAGTACTTCAGTAAGATGTGCTAAAATTTGGAACAATGTGGAAGCTGAAATGTTGGAATTATGGAAGAATAAGCAGTCTATATTCACTGCTTTGGCATATAAGCAAGATGCAAAGAAAGAGATTGGTAATATGATTTTTGTAAAGAAATTTTACAAGTGTTGGAAGGATGAGGCAGGTTTGATGTCTGGAGATGATATAGATCTCCTTAAAATACAGTTATGCCTTGGTAATATGTTGCCACAGTATTCTTTGCTTGTGAAACAATTGATTTCAGACTGGGCCAATTTGGATAGCTCAGATTTTCTTACCAAGGTTATAGAAAAGGAAAATGCAGGTTGTTCTGAATTAAGAAAAGATTTAGGAAAGTAAGGTTGCTTATTATGCTCAGGGATTGCAACACTGTCCACCTACACCTGAGAGCGAGGATGGGATGGAGCACATAAAGCCCGTGGAAGGGGTGGTCAAAGAGTGGCAAGGGGATGGAGACAGGGAAATCAGGATTATAGGGGCAGGGGTAACCAAGGAGGAATAGACAGGAACACTTGTTTCAACTGTGGACAATATGGCCACTGGAGGAATGAGTGTCCACACCCCAGGAAACCCCACACACCCCAACAACCCCACAATTCTCAAAATATGCCCTGTAGGCAAGAACAACACCATACCCACTCCCAACACCACTGGCCAGCATATCACTTAGTTCAGGACTTTAGAGCCCTGAATAATTGTATTGTGCCCATTGCACCCATTGTCCCTGATGTGACATCCCTCATTACAGCCATTCCACATGATGCCACTTGCTTCATTGTCATTGATTTAAGTAATGCATTTTTTCTATACCTATTGATCAAGAGACACAGCTACTTATGGTTTTTACTTTTTGAAGGCTGTCAGTTTACCTGGACACGCTTACCCAAGGCTATGTGGATTCCCCAGCTGTTTATTCGTTGGTACTCCAACATACTCTAAAAAACATGGACCCCCGGTCATGGTTCTGTCCTTTTTGCAAAATGTTGATGATTTGTTGTTATGTAGCCCTAGCTATGAGGCAAGCACTGTGGATACTGTCAGCAACTGTGGGTCACAAGGTTGTTAAACACAAAATGCAATTGTGTAAATCAAAGGATGAATACTTAGGTTTTGTTCTGGCTTTAGGCACCAGACAATTGAGTCCAAAATGTATTGAGGTCATTCAGAGGATTCCTACACCCACTACTCGGAAGGAGTTGCTCAACTTCCTCGGCATGATTAATTACTGCCACTAATGGATCCCTGAATGCTCCCATTATTACTCAATCCTAAGGGAGGCTGTACGTTCTGACAGCCCTGAAAATGTCTGCTGGTCACCAGACATGTTAGCTGCATATATTGCCCTTAAAGTTGTTATTGTGCAAGCCCAGGCTTTAGGACTACCTGTGTATTGTAAACCATTTCATTTGTATGCTTGGGACAATTGTAAAACCATGGCCGCAGTCTGTGCACAAGAGCAAGGAGGCAGTATGCGTCCCATAGCATTCTTTTCCAAAGTAGTTCAAGTTCCGGTACAGGGTATGCCGGCGTGTCTCAGAGCATTGATAGCATGTGCAATGGCTGTTGAAACTGCTACTACTATCACACTAGGGCATCCTACAATACTTCATGCCAGTCACCAGGTCACTCAGCTGATAACAAATCTCACCACACAACACATGACAGCCCAGCGCTTAAGTGGTTATGAGATTCTTTTTTTAATACCCAAAATCTGTCTTTTGGATTAAACAAGGTTTAGAGAAAGATCAAAATGATCTGTTCTCTAAAGAGGGGAGAATAGGCATACTTGCTTTATTTTCATCAGTCAGGCACATAGCAAGCACCATTCAATTCCTCATGAATTCATTTTATATTAGGAATCTCAGGCAGCATGTACAGTCTTTTGTAAGATCGTGTGAACGCTGCTCTTTTTACACACTTACAGATTGATTTTATTCATGTATCCAAAATTGGTAAGAAACAGCAATACTTACTGGTCATAGTATGATCAGTTTAGTAGATGGCATGAGGCCTTTGTGACATCTAGGGAGGGTGCTAGTGAAGATTATTGTTACTGAAATTTTTCCCAGGTATGGCTGCCCTCTGCAGATTGGCTCTGATAATGGCCCGGTTTTTGCCAGTGGGGTTGCCCAGGAACTTGCTAAATTCTTGCAAGTTACCTGGCAGTTTCATATACCCTATCATCCACAGAATACAGGGGTAGTTGAAAGGATGAATAGGACTATTAAGGAAAAGCACAGAATTTACCCAGGCACATGGGTAAATTGGACTAGATATCTACCAGCTATTTTAGCTGAGATAAGAATGAATCCCCACAAGGTGACTAAATTATCTCCATTTGAGATTTTGATGGGATGACCTTTTCCCACACCCTGGGCCAGGGAACCGCTTGTTATAATGTCTGGGGATTTACAGCTAATACAAGAACAATATGTACAGGAATTGTTGATAAAACCAAATGGTATGTATGACAATGTTTCTTCGCAGTTTTCCCTTACCTTCACAGGAACCTACTCATCCATACCAGCCCGGCGACTAGGTGTATATTCATCAGCTGAACAGGACCAAGAAAGGAGGATACCCTTTTGGACCACCTGCTACTGTGATTGCTGTACCCAGAACCGCTGTCCTCACAGATTCCCATGACATCTGGATTCACGCATCCCGAGAGAAGCTGTGTCCAAAGAGGGGAACCAAGGAAGACAACACCACTCCTCGCTTGGAAACAGAAGAATTTCTCCTCAGCGAAGCATCATGGCTTTTACACCATATCGTAGATTGAGAGGATCATACGTACCTGAGACCAAGATTATGTTGTGCGCTATGCTTTCTGGAGTTGTTATACTCCCTGTGATATTGTTCCTTGAATGCCATTATGAGTACAAGTCAATGGCAAGTTTGAAACCTGTTTGTTTCTGGAAAAAAGACTCTGACATGATGAACAATTCTTCAATACCCCCAGCCCAATTAGGCCTTAGCCCCTCATCTAGCATTCGTCACACACGCCCCCTCAAGAACCTTTCTCCACCACCTTTCTATCAGCATGTAATATGCAATCATTCATTCACTGTACGCATTTGGATGAATTGGACAAATAGTAACCCTTATAAGTACCAGTTACCCATATGAAATGTGTCCACAGCTAATGAAACCGATGCATTATGTTTGTTTGAAGGTTCACAGGAAATTGTTAGATCTTATAACGCAGAAATGTGCACAGTTAAGGTTGCATATCAATGTAAACAGACAGGCCTTATTACTTTTAATAATGATTATATAACTGGTATCATTAATTGGAGAAGGGGACAAATGTTAGTCATTATGAACGACACTGCAATTGAGAACTATACACTACCTTATATTTTTACACCTTATTACTGTCCTTTATCCTCTACCATAGAACCAAAAGTCAACAACGACACACACACACACCTATTCCGTCTACATGTATTAATACAACTGCCTTCTTACAAGCTGTACATGTGTCATTAAAAATCACTACTCCTGTTGTAACATTATGTAACACAACAAACAAAGGCAGAAAAGGGAATGGTATGACACACTGTTAGGTGGTGCTGGAACCACTATGGGTATACTAAATAGTTATAGATATGGAGACCCTCAAGAATAAGTTAAACACAGCCAGTATGCATATAGGGACTGGTTTCCATGCTACTGCAAACTGGGCTCCAATTGTTGTTAAATCACAGGTTATAGGATTGGATTTAGATAAATCAATATATAATTATTTAGATAATTTAACTGTTGCAACTATGAAATTCACTACAGGTCTAAGTAACTGGAGTACTTGTGCCATCAGGTATTTATGGATACAACAACAAGGATTGGCATTAGAAAACACACTAATGATTCCTAAACTAGAGAAGATTAGAGGAATGTGTAACCTCACAGATAATGAATGGTTACTTCTAAAACCCCAATCCACTAAATGCATGGATGGTTAACTGGTAATGTTTCACATTTTTCATGCTCATGCTATTTTACATTATATCATACAACATCAAAGGATGTTAAATTAGCTTGTCAATTTAACACATTACCAGTACCAGTTTATGATCTCTTTGCCAAGAATTTAACCTGGTGGGCACCCACATACACAGGGGACTATATTTTTCCCAAAGATAATACACACAGGTAGCCACACATATCCTAAAAGGAGAACTCCTTAAGGTGAGTTCACAAATTCAGAATGATTTAGCCCATCATTGGTACGATGCTTTACTGGTTGGTCCCCTACTGGATCCCAGATAATGAAATCATTCTTCTATCCTTTTGTTATTATAGTCCTGATTTTATTGTGTATGATTTTATATAACTGCCACCTTACTTGTACATTGAGGAAGAGAGTACAGAAATTAATTCATAATGCAGAACAGAAACAATTAGAAATTCTCCTCTCTGCCACTGGAGGGTATCAACCCATCTTTAAACTGGGCCTTAGGAATTACCACATGGGAATAGAGGTGAAGAAATTAATGAAAGTCCCGCAGGGAGTGACTAGCACCCCTGAAAATACTATGTGGAAGTTTCTCTGTCCTGGTAAGATTTTATCGATAAGATGAGCAATTTTTTATAGAGGGGAATGTAAGAATATGAAATAGTTAACTTGTTCATATGTATTTTATGCTTTTATAAGGTTTATAAATATTATTGCTGACTGAAAGGATATGAAATAGTTAAACTCAATTTACGACATAATATGCTGACTGGGACAGACTAAGGTATTTCTTCTATAGGATGTAAGACAATGCTAAATCTCAGGATGCCCATTCCGATTTCAGGATATTCTTCCCCAGACGTATGCAAAAGCTTATCTTTCCATTGTCAGAATAACATGTAATATAAGGAAGTAATAAATCTTATAGTCTGTACTGTATTTGCATATCTCATGGCTAATGTAAGCAAACTATGTATAAAAGCTAGTTCTGGAATACACTCATTTGAGAGTCTTGTCAAGCATCCTGTTGTCCGTGTCTTATTGCTGACAATGATTCTCCATCAACATTGATTATGGTGACTGAGGGATCGAGAACTGAGGGGATTTGAGTCCATTACAGCATTAACCCTTTCAGCAGTGTGAGTGAACACTGCTATATTAGCCCCAATATGGCACTTTCAGTGTTCCCTGACTAGAGGGGGTTAAAAATCAGGTTGCTCTAGTACATCAATTAGGGAGCCACATAAACCCTATGCAGAGGGACGTCAGTCTCTCCTGTGAAGAGCTGGGGTGGAGACAGAGAGTCGAAAAGACTGCTGATACTGTGTGGGAACAAAAAAGGTATTTTGCAAGCTTTTATTTTTATTTGTTAGGCTACTAGGGTCAGCTTAGCTGCCCAGTAACATAGAAAGGGTACTCTATGTTAGTTAGTCTCCAGTGTGGAGTAGGTGTTTATTTTGGTTTTTATGTTTTGCTGTGGCTCAACTGGGGCCTGCTTGCTAAAAAAGCTTCCCTCATATTGGAAGAAAGAACTGTTTCTGTTGTTTATGACCCAAGACCCGTCCAGCCTACTACAAGTGGTGTTAGCAGTGGGATGTTTGTGTACTGAAAACCTTACCAGTACAGACCCTGAGGAAATATAAAGCCATATAGCGTGAACGTGTTATTGCTGCAATGGAGGACGTATTAAAAGGCTTATTACAAGCTACTGCTGTGCAGCAAGAAAGCAACCGCTTGCTGGAAGCACATCTTACTGCAGTGGTAGAGGGACAACATGCTGACCATTGTATACTTAAAGAGATAGTACACAGTCTCTCAAAATCTGACAAAGAAGAGCCCAGCGGTGTTTCAAAGTCTCTCCAGGCAAACCAGTATATACAAAAGATGACTCCCCATGATGATGTGGAAGCTTACCTCCTTGCTTTTGAGAGGACTGCAGCCAGGGAACAGGGGAAAATGGGCTGTTATCCTTGCACCCTTCCTTCTGGGAGAAGCACAAAAAGCATATACTAATCTGGGGGAAGAGGCTGCCGATGACTATGACTGTCTTAAGGCTGAGATTCTAGCCAGAATTGGTGTGACACCTGCAGTCAGGGCCCAAAGATATCACAGCTGGAAATATCAGGATCAAAAGGCCCCAAGAACCCAACTGTTTGACCTAATACATTTGGCGAATAAATGGCTTACCCCAGAAAGCTCTACACCAGCACAAATAATTGAGACTCTGGTCCTGGACAAATTTTTGCGAGCTTTACCAATTGGATTACTCCAGTGGGTGGGACAGGGCCATCCTACCACCTATGATGAGATGGTGACCATAGTGGAATGCTATATAGCTGTAACAGCACTAAAGGCTCCACCTCAGGTCAGAAACCAGAAGTTGAAGGTACCCCAACCCCCAAAGACATGGAGGTCAAATCAACCACCACAGTCTGGAAATGGAGCTTTGGGTCCCAA